AGAGAGAGAGGAAGGAGGAGGAGGAGGAAGAGAGAGAGAAAGAAAGAAGAAAGAAAGAAAGAAAGAAAGAAAGAAAGAAAGAAAGAAAGAAGAAAGAAAGGAAAGAAAGAAAGAAAGGAAAATAGAGAAAGAAAGAGAAAAAGAAAAGAAAACAAATTGGATGTGAATGATTGTGAATTACCCAAAAACATTCCAAAATTAGATGAGAATGCTGCAGATAAGAATGAAGAACCCTCAAGCAATCATATTCCACATGGGAAAGAGCAAATCAGATGAGATGGTGATGCAGGGACACCTGCAGTAGAAGAGAACGACCTAGCTAAAGTTGATGATCTTCCCACCTCTTTAAGGAAGCACCCTGTTTTAGTTTCACAACATGAACATCCTCAGACAATCTCCTATGTTCCAAATTGATGACCTATCTCCCCAAATATTGTTCCAGATTCACATGTAAACCACAAAGCTAATCCAAGTACTTCAAAACAGAACCCTCCCAATCCTTTTCAGCATTTAAATCCTGGCTCAAACTTGGAGAATGAACCCAGAATTCAAACAGATATACACTAAAGCAAGCAACCAAAGATAGAGTTGATGATTTCCACAAATTGAAGCAAAGCCGGTTCTTTGATGAAAATGAATCCCTTGTTGATCCGCAGCCTGGTTCTAAACTGGCTGATTAAATGGGAATGATGGTAACATAGGTGAGTATGAGGCAGGACAAGCAAGCTGAGCTGGCTTACAATGAGGAAGAAATGGTGATGGTGGAGAGGAAGACGTCCAAGATGATGAAGAGCTAGAGCTTCAGATGGACCCTTCAGACTATGGAAAGCAGCATTTCAATGATGTCCTTAGAGTCCTAAAGGAAAATTTCACAAAACCTAAAGTGCTTCAAAATAGGATGATTTCTACTTTGTCATTTTTTGATTTTTATTGTAAAGATCACTTGTATCGGTTGTAAAGATACATTGAGGTAGATTTAAGGAAAAACTTTAATGAAAGAATGTACCCATGTACGTATGTGAACTTTTTCATATTGTATTATCAAACCAAGACTTTTTGGATTATAGTAAATTTGAGCCAAAAATGGTTAATCTTTGCATTTAAAGCAAACTAATGTATATTTCACCTTTTTTTCGCATTTCATTTTTTTTCCACAAGTAGACAGCAAGAGAACATTGTTGTACAGGCTATATGTTGCACATAGCATAACCATACTGAGAACAGTTGTCAGCAGAAAAGATTTTATATACTAAAATATAGTTTCATTAGCCAGACAGGTGTTCTGCTCTGTCTACCCTTCACTTCATGCTCTTCAAGGAGTGATGCCTAAAATAGTTACGTAAGTGAGGGGAAATTGGATGCCAAACGTTGTGCAACATGTACACAGATTCACCTTCCTACTCCTTTTATTTAAATGCTAATGTGTTTTGGCAGATTAGCTTTCAGTTGAGGACTCTTGGAATTCAAGTTAACTTTCAAAGACAGAAATATTTATCAGTCATTCTTACTTAGCTTGAAAATACATTGTGGAATGTATTTTCCGGTTTTTTCCCATCATACCAGGACTTTTTCCCATCATACCAGTATCATACCAGTACTTCAGCACTGACTAAAGTATTTTTGCAGTTTGCACTGGTGAAGGTATTCATGATTTAAACATCAGGTCCTACAAAGGGGCTAAATCTACTTTGAAATGAATCTGCAATCCATATTTCAGAGCCTTCCTGGTAGTTTCAGTGATTTTCTTTGACTAGATTTTTTTGCAGAAATGCTAAATAAGGAATTTTAACAAGTTTTTATCAATGCAAAAACAAGGATAGAAGTACAGTGAGGTTTATAACTTTTATAGCAATAGCCTAAAGTTTATAATAAAAATGAACTTTTGTAATTATTAACTATGTTAGTGGGGCTGGTGAGATGGCTCAGTGGTCTAAAGCACCTACTTAGAACAAGCTTAGCAAAACACAGGGAGTGCGGTTCAATCCTCCAGCACCACATGCCAGCCAGCCCCTCCCCCTTGTGGGCTGAGCTGGCCACACACACACACACACACACACACACACACACACACACATAAACAAATAAATAAATAAAAATTTAAAAAAAAACTATGTTAGTTAAGATACCATCAACTTCACATTTGCTAGACTTAAAATTACTTTAAATATATCTTGTCTTTTTTGACACTATTCTGCAGAATGTGTAAGCTATTTGTGACAAGCTAATCCTTGTTTTCTGATTAAAGTATTTTTACATCTTATCCCATGCCCCCAAAACAGAAGGTGTTTATCATGAAAGAAATTTAAGGTCATTAATCTTGTTTTTCAGAAGAGCTACTGTTAACTCACTATAAATGTGAAACATGGGCTGGAGGTATCCCTGAGTGACAGAGCACCTGCCTAGTTGGTCCCCAGCACCAGAAAATAGACAAACAAACCTGATATCCCCCTGTCTCCTACCCCCAGGTTCCAATCATACTTGAAACTTGTAGAAATAGATCGCTCACTTGTTGAGGTGCAAAATATTTTTGGCCTCACTTTGGAGTTACTTAGTGACCAGAAAGAAATGCAATAATTGACTACAATTTTTTTCTATTGTATCAAAGTAAATAACTTATGCCTTCATTAGCAGGACAGGCCCACAATGAATAAGAATTAACAGTTTACAGAATCTTTTAATAGAGTTAAACGGAAGCAATATACATCCTTTGGAAATTAGCATGGGGAGATCTAAAAATATTTCTAGTAATACTTCATATTTAGTATTCTACAACTTTTACCATAAAATTACCTGCCTTAGTTCCTTTGACATAGAAAGTGATCACTTGGTTATGTGGTAGCTGTTACTTACACAGCAAAATTTCTTTAATTAGCAGCTGAGGCATTTTATAGGCTGAGACATCATGGATGCATGGGTATTTCTCATTGTATTAACACATTTTAGTGCTATAAAATACTACGTGACTCTCTTAAAAATCTGACATTCTACAATGTGTAATAGACATGCTGTTTTTTATAATATTTTACTTCTGCCTTAAGATTTAGGGTTTTTGAATGTATTTTTTGCCCTGAATTAAGTGTTGATTTGATGGGAACACTCCTTTTAAAATCATCACTTACTGGTTTCTAATAAATTAAAAATTAAACTTAAAAATATAAAGTGTGACCAGAGAACTGGTATATTTTACCAACCGTGGACATTTAAATCCCTGTAGAATGTTAATAGACAACAGTTACACAATTTTGTAGAAAAGGGTCAGGGGAGGAGCTGGGGAGATAGCTCAGTAGAATAGGCACTTCCCTGGCAAGCGCAAGGGTCTGAGTTCAATTCCCCGGTTCTGCCAAAACAAAAACAAAACTAACAAGAAAGGGGTCAGGGAGATAACTCAGTAGAATAAGCGCAAGCACAAGGGCCTGAGTTCAATCCCCAGTTCTGCCAAAACAAAAACAAAACTAACAAGAAAGGGGTCAGGGAGATAACTCAGTAGAATAAGCGCAAGCACAAGGGCCTGAGTTCAATCCCCAGTTCTGTTAAAAAAAAAAAAAAGATTTAATTTTGTAGAGATCATTTGACATCAAAAGTCATACATAGTAATATAGCTTAGCAGTCATAACAGATGATGAAATCCCCATTTTGTTTTGACATCTCTAAATATAATGGCACATACACAGGATATATATTATATAAGTTTTAGTTAGAAAATTATCACTTGACTGATGACCTCATGTTGGCTTGATGTGAACTTATTATTATAAACACCTGGAGCATAAAAGAAAGGCATATGTTTAAATCTAAATGAAAATCTATATTGTAGAACACTGTATTTGAAAGGCATGAATATATTTAATATATCGAACATCCTTTATGAGAAAACCTTATTTTAATTTTTGAAAAAACATTATCTTTTAAACAATGACCAAATTATTAGGGATGTCTTCTAAGAAGACTACTCAGGGCTCTCCATCGATGAACAAAGCTTGGTCACTCCTCTATCCACCACGCAAAAGTCCTGTCCAACAATCTTTCCCCATTTTAATATTTTTTATTTAATTATAAGTTAATTTTGATATCACTTACACCAGCTGGTAACTTAGGAGAAAGCATGTTTTCAAGTCTATATTTTAGAGCTCAAATAAAAAAGGAACAGCTGTTTATAGAATGACATAAAAAACAAACACACAGGACACACATGGACATCTTTATAAAATGAGAGTACACTCAAATGTATTTCTGGCCAGGTTAAATTATGATGACTTTTTAAAGTTTGTAATGATGAGAGACTAGTCAGAACTTTTGTAAGTCCATTAGTAGAGATCTCTTACAAGAATTTGGAAAAAGGTAAAAACCTCTTGTTTATAGTTAATATATTTGTTTAGGGCTAATATTTTATATCAGGTTTGAGTGAGAACAGGCAAACTGAACAGAGTGTAAGGATTAGGCACAGTACAATAGAGGAGCACTGACAACTCACAAGTCCTAGACTGGTAGGCTGGCATTAAGGGTGTCCTAAGGGGCTGGGAAGATGGCTTAGTCGGATAAGTGCTTCCCTGCCAAGCACAAGGGCCTGCGTTTAATCCTCAGTTCTGCACCAAAAATAAATAAATAAATAAATAAATAAATAAATAAATAATAAATTTTTAAAATGGTGTCCTAAGGGAAGCTGCACTGTTTCTTTCTTTTTTTTTTTCCATAATTTTATTGAGAAACAAATAGCAATGAGACAGTTTCAAAACAAATTGGTAGGACAGTTTCAATAATTAACATATTGCATATATTCTTCCTAGTGGTTATTTTCTGTACAAGATGCAGACATGATATCCTATTTACAAACACTATTACAACAAATCCCTCTATTTATTAAGAGAATGTAACTATATGTCTATCCTAACCATTTTGATACACAGATACAAAATGGACATTCATCTGTATCCACTTTTTTGTTTAGTTCCATCATTTGAATATTATAGGTGTGTTAACTCAGCAAAATATTCTAAAAGAGTCCAGTAGTCCATAATAGTATTGGGTCTTCCGCTTCACTGGCAATGTCAGAAATTGTTAACCTGAGTTTCCTACAGCTCAACATAACAGCATGACTTTACTTCTTATACTTCGTTTTTATACTTTTCTGCTGGATGGTTAAGACCAGGATAAAGCCAGACCTATGCAACAAGAGTTGTAGCTTTTGGGTCTGAAAAGGTCGGTGAAATCCCTTCAGAATATTTCTTGAGATCCTGTACCTCAGATTGTAGATCTTTTGTCAGTGTCAGCCATGTGGATGAGTCACGGCCTTTGCTTGGCCAATGTGCTTTCTGTGAAAGCCTGAGAGAATGTTTTCTCTCCATGTGACTCTCCTTAGGCACACTCTACATCATCGATCACTCATTTTTGGCCCCGTAATCTTCTTGATCAGAAAATTTGGAACACTACTGAGTTACATGACGTTACAGTACAAGTTCTCATATATCCTGTCTTAATTGACATCGGAAGGCTAGGGCCAAAATGTAGGCTTTCCTTGCAGCCCTCCTTTTTCTCTAATTTTGGTCTGCAAACTTAAGTTATTAACCCTCCAGAAGAGAAGCTTATTGTTATTACCATACAACCTATTCTGCACTGTTTCTTGTGGCTGTAACAAGAGACTGTGGAGGTGGCTGAGGGGCAGAGGGAGTGAGGGGAGGAAGTGGTGGGCCTTGCAAAAACACCTTTTGACTTTATGTGGGAAGAGATGCTATGTTGGAGATGCTGAATACAGTTTTCACAGCAATGGGGTTGGTGACAACCACCCAGCGGTCTGCACAGCTTGCCCTTTTTGTGCCTCCAGCAAGCCCAAAGAGCATTCTTTGAGGACAAGGATACAACCTGGCAGGGCTGGCATATGCCACCATGTAGAAGAGTTAAACCAGTGTTGGGCTTAGCTGACGCCTACACAGATGGGACTGAAGCTTTTCCTACCTACTCTGTAAAGGCTACGGGATAGTCAAGGTGTTTCTTAAAGAAGTCACCCCGGCCATGCGTGGTGGCACATGCCTATAATCCTAGCACTTGAGGAGCTGAGTAGGAAGATCACTGCAAGCTCAAGGCCAGTCTGGGCTCTAAACTGAGTTCAAAGCCGGCCTGGGCTACATTATGAGACCCAGTCCCCCCAAAAAACCTAAAACAAAACAAAACAAAAGCTCATCTTCAGATTTGGACAACCCCAGTCTCTCCAGAATGACAATGCTGCTTCTTTTATCCCCCAAATAGTTCTGGGAGTGGAACAAGGTCTTAACTAAAGGGCTTAATACTTCTGGAAAGGTAGAGCAGGCCAACCAGACCCTAAAGTGAACTCT